TACACGTGTGTGTATGTGTGTCTCTCTCTCAAAATGTAGAATATAGAGATTTCTTAAATGAATATTGGTATATTCATCTATGAAGTCACGCATCTCAAATTCCATCCAAATCTCATTCTTAATCCAGAAACAACCCTACTCGAAATAGGGAGAAAAAGTGAAGAAAATTAAATATTTAAAAAAAATTGTAGGGTCACAAAAATTTGGATGTCTACGTATAGTACCAGAAAAATTTCAACCACACACACAATTAATTTACCGATGAAAAATTTCCAAAACGAAAATATAAAAATAAGTACTAAAGGGGTGTTTGATAGATATTATTGAAGAAAGAATATATTTTAAATAATGATATAATGAGAAATATGTTGTTAAAAAGTAAGGAAAAATTATTGATGTGATGAAAAATATTATTTTATAGAATAATGTGCAGTTGAAAATGAGTTTTGAAAGAATGTATTTTTAAAGAATGTGTGTCAAATAGGGGCTAATAACAGAAAATTCGTAGGGAATAAATAACATTTAAAAATAATTTACTCATCGATAATATTATAAATATAAAAGTGTAAAAGTATCTTAAATTATCAACAAAATTATTAATAAAATATAAAAGGGTAAAAATAGAATAAACTTTCACATATATATAAAGCGTGTTTGGAAGGGATTTTAATCCAATTAAAATTGAAAATATAGCCGTTATTGGATCTCACCAGTCTAATAAAAGTCAACAATAACAGTTAATTTTTCAATTTTAATCCAATTTTAATTTCTACTAAACAAGCTCATAGTATCATTAATTTATGAGTATTGCTTGGGGTGGGGCTACACAGAAGCCCCATAGATCACCGACCCTCTGTGCATTTAGCTTAATTATTAATTTATATCACAATCAGTTATCCTGATACTATTGATGATCGATTGATAACGCATCTTCGAGAGGTTTGTTGTCAAAATTATTAATAGAGATACGTGGATTAGAAGTAATTTTTATGTCACATTGTCACAATGACATGGCCACGGCATAAATAATTTGGCTTATCTTCAAAAATTGTCGGCCATGATTGGATTGGTGTAATTCACCCGCGTCATTCTTATCCCAATCGAACAATTTTATTACTCGATAAAACAGAAATCATTAACCAGTTATCAAACGACACGTGCCTTGTCTGAAAAAACGCGGTTCTGTATTTGCCAATTGTTAGCTCCAATAACTCAAAGCTGTGGCTTTGCACTGGAATTTCCAGATAGTCAAATATAAATAAAGAAAATTATTTTTTTAATTTCGAGAAATGAAAAAATATTGGTATGAAACCTGTTAAATGCGAATAAAATTTTAACTTATTCCTTTCGAGTAAATGTTCCTCATTGTCAATAACTGCAGTGATCATCATATATAATAATTTAATATTTGAAACATTTGCAACCGCTGACTATGAATAAAATTTGTTCTATTCTTAGTTATTTTTGAATATCTACTTGTTCTTGCATTTTCTGAAAATTAAACAACCTAGATTATCTCAACAATGAAACCAGACAACCTTATCCATACTATCTGTATTTTAAATTTTGGCGATCTCAAGGTACTAGTCCATTGTTTTTTTCCATGGTCAGAAATTAATGTTCAGGGAATCAAATGAATGAACTTGAGGCGGTCTGGCATGGAACTGAGTCAGCAACATTGTATTACCAAGTGGGCTTCTGCCACGTGTCCACTGATGCACAATTATTATAAAAAGAAACTTTTTTCAATACAATTGCGCTACACCAACAAACTCAAAGACGAGTTCAAAATCAAGGGGGACATGTATCGACACATAATTTGACAGTTCGAAAAAAATATAAAAACAAGGAAAATTTCCTGAGTACAGGGAATTTTACCAGAAAATGATTGTGGCCTTTGATTTTTTTTTTCCCGCCTTTTTGTATAAATCCTGACCTTTGATTTCAAAAATCTGGCAATTGTCTGGCAAATCTTTCTGTACCTATAGCACAGTTCTAAAAACAATTCTCAATTATTACCGCCACATCACCATGTCCCTTCATTCCTGTCCTTAAGCTTGTCCATGGAGCATTATTCAGCAATTGTGGTCCTTGAATTCCTTTACGTGTCATCACATGCTCATATTTTCTTATCCACAAAATATCACATGTTTATGTTCAAGGTTGTCTTGCGAAGAAAAATGACTCATCATGTGGTACGAATAGAAGAGTAGATCTATGGTTCGTTTATCGAAACTTTAACTTTTGTTTTGGCATCAAAGTACTCCTAAAATATTATAAACGTGTTTAAAAACGTCGTCGAACGGGTTCTCAAAAACATGTTTGGGAGTTGTATAAACGATTTAAATGATAAATAAATATAAGTAAATAATAAATGTTGCAATCAATATTTTTATTTTAACTCTATTTGTAAGTATTGACAAAAAAATGTCTTGTGATATTGAAAATAGGAGAGTAAATTTAAAAATTGTCAAATAATCGGATGAAAATTCAAAGGTCAAATTCAGTGGGAGGTTTAAAAGATTATGAGGCTAACGTTTGTTCAACATTTACGCGCAGCCGATTTATAGCACTTTCTCTTTTTCTTTTTCTTTCCCTTCACTTTTCTTTGTTGACATTCTTTTCTCCAATGTTCTACAAATTGACGTCTATGGTCCTCATTAACTCATCCAGTCCAAAATTATTTTAGAAGAGATAGAGAAAGACAAAGATACCCTTACTTTTAAGTAGGCAATAAGTAAATGAATAAAAAGAAAGACAAAATACGGAAAGAAAAAGAAATAAATGGTTATAAAAATATGTTTTAGTGGAGGAAGAGTTTTTGAGGGGTAAAGAATCAATGATTTATCGAAGATAACGGAAAGAAAAAGAAATAAATGGTTATAAATATATGTGTTAGTGGAGGAAGAGTTTTTGAGGGTCAATGAATCAATGATTTATCGAAGATACAAGCTTTTGTTGATCGCATGAACTACGAATTCATTTACGAAAATGCTAAAACCTTTTGGAAAAACGAATAAAGAAATTAGTTAGAGTGTTTTCTTCTTTGTTCGAGCGATTTTCAAAGACGTATTCATTTGCTAAGAAATTTATTTATGGAGCACCAGCTCGCCCCTTGTTTCAGTCGGAATGGACCCCGGGACATTGGCTTTTGTGACAAAAAAAAAAAAATTGTACCATTCATTTCACAAATATTATATACAACACATTAGTTCAATTCATGTTCTCCATCTATTTTCTTGCAAAATCTTTGGCCATGTTTGATAATGAAACTTTTCCATGAAATTTGGAATTTAAATTCTATTTCCCACCAATTGCTTTGTTTGATAGCCATAATTTTCTTGGCAATACTTTTCCACTTTATCTCCACACGTGCACCTTTTCTACCTTTTTGATGAATTTGGTTCCCCACCATTTTGGTGTGAGATAGAATTCCAGTTTTTTTTTTTTATTATTATAATTGGAACAAATTTTATAACTAATTATTAAAAAAAAATTCATTTTAATGAAAAAATTATTTTCTTGGATTTTTTTTTATTTTTTTTACTTTTTGACAATGAAAACAAATTTTATAACCAATTGTGGAAAAAAATATCACTTTAATGAACAATTTTCATGTAAAACAAAGTCAAACGAACATAAAATTTAAAAATTTTCCGGGTGGAAAATTATACCAATCAAACACACTCAATTAATAATTCCCTACAAAACAATTTCTAGTCAATTACTTTCCCTGAAATTCATTTTCTTTCCACCCATTTTTCACCCTTACAATCAAACGGACCCTAAGTGATAATCTTCATCAATTAGTGTCCATGTGCCACCTAATTCATCCGAACAATTCTATTAGTAAGCACTGTAAAATTATTCAATTCATTGTGTAATGGAATTGTGATAGATATCATTACTCTAGAATACATCCGACAAGTCCACACCCCCCTGCCCCTCCTATCCCGTTCCTCAGCTCGTTTAAATTTTACAAAAGGTAGGACGGGCATATAATATCTCCATTCATATCGCTTAGTTAATTAATCTTAANAAATGAAAACTAAATTTTGATAAAAAAATGATTTTGTAGGAAATTTTTTTTTCCTTTTTATTTTTTTGGCAATAGAAACAAATTTTATAACCAATTGTGGAAAAAATTATCACTTTAATGAACAATTTTCATATAAAATAAATCCAAACAAACACAAAAAGATCCAAAATTTTAAAATTTTCTGGGTAAAAAATTATACTAATCGAACACATCTAATTAACAATTTTCTGAAAAACAAGTTCTAAATAATTATTTTCTTTGAAATTCATTTTCTTTCCACCATTGTAATTAAACGGAACCTTAGCAAAAATCTTCAATCAAATTTTTGCCATGGGGGTGGTGAAGACAAGGGTGTGAAGGTGGGACGAGTGCTTCACTTTATATTGTGGAGGCTGAGTCGAGAGGGAACTTTTGGGGGGTCTTTTACATTTTTCCTTTTTTTTATGCATTTTTTCTTTCTTTATATATTTCAACTTAATAACAGTAGGGGTGGATTCAAAAAAAAAGTTCAGCGGAGGCGAAACCAAAAAATCTTGGAAAAAATCAGAAAACCTAAAAAAACATGGACAAAAAATCTAAAATTTTGATGAAAAATCGGAAAATCTTGATTTTGAAAAAAGGTTATCGAGGACTACCATCATTTATATATGGAAGTTTGACAGTAAGAAAACAAAGAAATAGAGTTTGGCCTACAAGTGTCAAAGGTAAAGATTGGGGACGGAGGCCGCAATTTACCCTTTCTTATTTGTTCAACTTTTTTCTATAAATTCAACTCCTTCATTCAGTTTCGTAACGCAAATCTTACGAATCAAATACCCCCTTTTTCTCAATCTTTATCCATTTTTCTTGAATAATTTGGGACATAAAACACCCCTTTAAGATCAAATCTTAGCCTGAGGTACCAAATATTTGCTTGTGAAACGAATTTTGTCAACTGGGTTTTTTATATCGAGGATTATAGATGGAGATTCCGGTGATTAGAAGCTCGCCGGTGAATCTTGGAAGAGCTATTGATGCTGGGTTCTGTAATTTCAGCAAGAACCTGAATTCTAAGGTCTCTATGGTCAAGAATAACTCAAAAACATGCAATATTGTTCAAAGTCAGAGCTTGAAATGGGAATCAAAATCTGCAATTCGCTTGACGCTTAAAGCCTCTGCCACTGCCCAAACTGAAGCTGCTGTCATTTCTGAGAAAGGTTCAAGAAATTCCAGAACCAAGCCCGTAAGCCTTTTTTTTCTTTTCTATTTTGAAGGTGTCATTTTTAATCTTTTTTCTTATTTATGTGAAAATACTTAGCGGAGTTTGATGTTATTTTTCCTTGATTTGAGTCACTGATTTGTCATTTGTTGTCTAATTGGAGAAGTAAGGGATAATGCTTGTTCCTTGTTAATTATGAAAATTGAATAATTAACCAAATATTTTGAGTCTGATTCATGTGTTAATTGTGAGTTATTATTTATTTTGTCTAATTTTGTAGGGATGAAAAAAACATAGTACTAAAAATAAGTTACTATTTGAAAAAAAAAAAAAAAAAAAAGAGAGGAAAATGGCTTTGGCTTCTTATTGAAATTCTTTCGATTCCGTTTTGTAGGATCTATGGCTAATGTTTCGAATCTTTGTCATAAATTTTGAAGCATTCGATCAATATTTAATAGTATATGGATTTTAATAGCAGATATCCAGAATTAAATTTTCTGTTTAATGGTATAAACTATAAAGTGAAGTTTCATTAGTCCCTTTTTCATCACAATTGCATGGTCACACTATCCTTTCATGAAAATTAAGTAATTCCTTTTGGTATAATATGGAATTGACCACCTTTTTGAGCATTTTAGCGTTCATGTTTCTTCATTACTTTCTTATGTTATTTTCATTTGTCAGATGAGTCCAATACGATTCCTTTGTTGTTGTTTTTGGACTCATTATAAAATTGGATGCTTGTTTCTTATATGTCTGTGGTGTTCAAAAAAGTTGATAAGAGGCTAATATATTGGTTCGGTTAATGCCCTTGCAGACTGATGGCGTGAAATTATATGTTGGGTTGCCACTCGATGCTGTCTCCAACTGTAATACAGTGAATCATGCACGAGCAGTTTCTGCAGGGCTGAAGGCTCTGAAGTTATTAGGAATAGACGGAGTGGAGCTACCAGTCTGGTGGGGAATAGCTGAAAAGGAAGAATCAGGAAAATACGACTGGACAGGCTACCTTGTTCTCGCAGAAATGGTCCAAAAACTGGGTCTAAAGCTTCACGTATCACTCTGTTTTCATGCATCCAAAGATGCCAAAATTCCACTTCCCAATTGGGTTTCTCGGATTTGTGAATCACAACCAGATGTTTACTTTACAGATCGATCAGGACAGCGTTTCAAAGATTGTCTATCATTAGCTGTCGATGATCTGCCTGTTCTTGATGGAAAGACTCCAATCGAAGTGTACACTGAGTTCTGCACGAGTTTCAAGGTTTCATTCTCTCCTTTCATCGGGTCCACAATCACGGTAAGCTGATTTATATCTTTGAGTACAAGATTATAATTTTTAAGTAATTTTCAGCTTAACCAAACTTCTTCATAATTCATTCGTAGTTGTGATACTGACTGGTGGTTTTGCTTACTCTTTTATATGTCACAGGGAATATCAATTGGTCTTGGACCAGATGGCGAGCTTCGGTATCCATCTTGCCACCATCGTTCCAAGAACAATAGCCATCGTGGAGCCGGAGAATTCCAGTGTTACAACAAATACATGCTTGAAAATCTTAAGCAGCACGCAGAATCACATGGGAACCCTCTGTGGGGACTAAGTGGTCCCCATGACGCTCCCCGTTATGACCAGTCACCAATGTCAAGCGGCTTTTTTTCGGAGCACGGAGGATCATGGGAGACGCCATATGGTGATTTCTTTCTTTCTTGGTACTCAAGCCAACTAATATCTCATGGAGATCGCATTTTGTCAGTCGCTGCCTCAACTTTCGAAGATACCGACATTATAGTGTCAGGTAAAGTCCCCCTGATGCACTCGTGGTATAAAACCCGTTCCCACCCTTCAGAGCTAACGGCCGGGTTCTATAACACAACCAATAGAGACGGTTATGAGGCCATTGCTGAAATCTTCTCAAGAAATTCCTGCAAAATTGTACTTCCTGGAATGGACCTGCCAGAGGAGGACAAAATAAATGAAACCCGCTCGAGCCCAGAATTATTATTTGCACAGATAGCATCAGCTTGCGGAAAACATGGAGTACAAATCTCTGGTGAAAACTCATTGGTTTCGGTCAGTCCTAGGGGTTTTGAACAGATCAAGAAGAACTTGGTGGATCAAAATGTAGTTGACTTGTTCACGCATCAAAGAATGGGAGCTCATTTCTTTTCTCCCGAGGATTTCCCTTTATATACTAAATTTGTTCGGAGCCTGAATCAAGCGAATCTGCATTCAGACGACCTAGTTACAGAAGAGGAAGAAACTGCTCTCTCTCTCCCGAGTGCAAATCTCCGTATGCAAGCTGCTTAGATTTAAGATTATATCGATGTAAATAGACAAATTGAAATCGTGTATTGTAACACTAATATACAACAGACTCACTTGTGCTATTGTTGGGTGCACATGCACGCAACATACTGATAGCAATGTGCCTCAAAGCATCAATTATTATAGATTGTTATTATAGCTTTTTCGTACTTGTTTCCTCGAATGCTAATTTCTTCTTACAATTTGGAGTGCATTGTCTTGGGAGAAACTACTAGTGTTAAAACTGAAGTCTGAGAACCATTTTGCTTTGGGGTATTTGCAAAAATACTTTTAAAATTATGGATGTTTTGAGAAATTCTATAAACGGTTTTTAGGAAGTAAAAAATATTGTGTAAAATGAAAAAGTGACACAATGTTTTTTTTTAATAAAAATTGTCACTTTTTTTATTTTTTTTTAAAAACTGATATAAACTCAAAAAAAAGTGACAAATACCAAAATAGCACCAGTAATCTTTTTTTTTTTTATCTTATCAAAAAGTGACAAAAACTTAAAAAGTGATAAAAAAACTAAAAAAAGTGACAATTTTAAAAAGTGATACAATGTCACTTTTTTAAAAATTAACGAGCAACTTTGACATCCCTAAATGGTAATGCATAAAATTAAGTAAGTGACGGTGTAACACTTTTTACAAAAATTTCAAAAAGTGATAAATATCCAAAAAAGTGGCAAAACACTAATCAAAACCTTAGAATCAGTTTAATAAAGTAACGACTAAAAAAAGTGACAAAATACCAATCAAAACTATGGAATCAATTCAATAAAAGAAATATTTGCATCTATGTCATTCCCAGACCTCAAAATCACCCAACTTTCTCATTCTCTTCAATTATACCATCTCGATTTTTCATAAAACCATTTTTTTTTCTTCAACTACAATCAATTCAATCAACAACTTGCCTTTCATAGATAATATGCAAATCAAATCTTTTAAATTATCAGAACTTTGACGATGCAAAAACAGAAAATTCATAGCTAGACATTTCATCAAACGAAAGAGAAGCATCCCACAAACCTTGTAAAAAAAGCAATACTAACATTTATCACCTTGTAAATTTAACTATTTGTTTCTATCAAGGAGCACTTTCTTTGCATTTAATCACATTTATTGTTCAATACTGGTAATTTTCTCTTCTATAAAATTTTGAAGACCAAAAGTTCAACACTTAACCTCAAATCCCAAGAAAAACAGATATTTGTGGTTGCCTTCTTCTTATTTTGGCAATTGTTTAGCGTTCGTCAATCCATTGAAGTGGAAGAGAAGATCAGATATGAACCCGTTCCTGCGAACCCAATTGACCGGACCATTTGCAAGCAAGAAACGAGCATACGGATAAGGTCCTTGTCGACTCTTGCATCAATGGCAGAGAAGATAGAGCAGAGATGTGTGGATAGATTCCAACATCACAGTGCTAAGTGTAGAGAGGTTATGGAGAGGATCTGCAAGTATCTTGAAGCTGAATCCCGCGGAAACTGTGTGGTTTTGAGACTTTTACACGTATTAATTACGTTTTAAATTGATTAATTTATGTAAAAATGCATTATTCAATTTTGTTGCTTTTGGGCTGTACGGGCCTAATTGCCCCTTTTGCTTTTATATTGCAAATAAGCCCACGCTGATAGCGAAGAGTCATTGGAGCTGTTTCGTTGTACATACTGGTATAAATTTTGTGGACCAGGCCGATTGCAGAGAGGCCCGCTGACAAGCCTTGGCTGGCTCGAGTTTTGTGTCGGGTAGATCTAGGCCCGGCTTGAAACTATTTTCTGTGGTTCATGCCAAGGGGGGTCTTGGGATGGGACAGGACAGGCTTACAAATAATGAGAAAATGGGTCAAATTCTACGGGATCAAACCTATGGGGTTTAAGGAATGATATTATAAAAAAGAGGGGGATAATTTATTAGTGTTAATACCTAGAAGGATTTGACCCCGATTTTGTTAATCCTACCGGAAGAAAGAGAAGTCCCATGATTTCAAATTTGCGTCTATAATACTGGTTTTGCTTTGTGGCTGCTGTATTTTTTAAACCTGGTTGGTTTCTTTTACTACATGCCTTTGTAGGATCATGACGAGTTTGTCTTGGGGATAAATTTTATCCCCTTAGCTTGGCTACTGGGATTTATCCTTTATTCGCTTTCAGGACAAATCCTTCCTTATATTCTAATTAAGACTATCATCGGTCGAACTTTTGTAGGTTACAGTCCATAGTCCATATATATTACAGTTTCATAAATTACAGCTTGATAAGAGGTTCATAGCTTCTCAACTTCTATACTTGCAAGCATAAAACAATCAATCATGCTCCACGTACAGGGTTGTTGACAATTTTTTTCATAGATTGCCAACTGTCAAGATTTATTTGGATGTTGAACAAAAAAATACAGTTCAATCAATCAGTGCAGTATTGCCACCTATAAAACTTCGTACATTTTCCATGTACAAGGAGCTTAATTCCAAAACAACATAGGCTCAGAAGTTATGTTAACATAAAGGTTGATGGAATCTACATTGGTCACACCAAAAATTTCAGAAACTAATGGCAAGTTGTGCACAGGAGACTACATAAAGACTGAATAGCATTAAGGCTTTGTTTGACTTCATTTTTTTCAAGCTCATTTTCAACCACATATTTTCCAAATAAAATACTTTTGTACGCAAATCTAATATTATCCCTACTTTATGACCACATTCTTCAATAAAAAATCACTTTTCACAATTTATTCTCTCAAAATCTCTACTGAACAGAAGCCAGATAAAAAAGAAGTCAAAACTCTTAACAATTATACCATTCAGTTCTATTCAATATTGTGTACTGAAGGCAGGATAAAAGGTCATTACAGTGTAGTAGATTTTAGGACAATGAAGAACTTGAAAAAAGAATTCCAAATTATATGTACATGTAAGAAAAGATAGCTGTAGAAGACAAATCCTTGTATGTTACACGAGAAAAATATTTGCATAGAGCAAACCCATAAAAGTTCGAACATTTTCTACGTCCCATTTAGTATAGTGCGTCGAACAACTAAAGTTCAAGACAACTTTGAAATGAGAGTATGACGATGAAGGCTTGCTTCTTCTAGTCTTATCTGCATTCCCGCCCCTTCCACTATCCCTGCAAATTTTTGCTGCATCATGTCGAACGATTTTCCCTACTCGAGTTCCAACAGCAAACATGTTAGTGACAGGATGTAAATTGAAACCACATCACATTTAAGAACCTGAATCTTAATATAAATCAGTATATGCTACAAAAACAGATTTTAATATATCCATAATGTACTTTTCGTTTACTCCTATAATAGTATTCTTAAACTCTTAACAACAAGACATCGTTATTTCCAAAAAGCAACAACGGAGAAAGAAAACTCTGGTATGTAGAACATGAAACACAACACTCCTTCAAAACTTTCGGTAAACGGGTGAAACAATGTTATATTTTAGGATATATGGTGCACATTTGGGAAACATTAAGTCAAACTAAAATTTAACATATATTTCATAGGACCTACAACTATTACCCACTTATTCATCACTCATTTCCATCACATCACAATTTTAGCGACTTACATTTTATCCAAACAAGCTGATACTATTTATTCGATTACTCTAGTAACATGGAGCAACTCTCGAACAGAATAAACAAATCTAACAAGTCAAATAAATCAAGATTACATAAAAAGAGCAATTTCATAAGCAGAAGGATTGTGAATCATCTCTTATTATAAATACTCATGGTACCACATTCATGTCTAAAGACTTGGTCACGATTCCCTCAACTTGTACTTTGAATTTTCAGGCATGTTTTTCTAAGCAGAAGTATATCAAGCGTTGAGAGTACCCAAATTCTCAATGTGATGCAATATTCTATTGAATTGACAAGAAATTTGTGAAATTAACTAAATAATTAACATACCATACCAACAAATTAACATTATGCCACGCATATTGAGAGATGTATACGAGTTGATAATGCTTAGGTAGGAGAACATGCCATATGTTTAATTAAGACAAATACAAACATATATAAATGAAGGGTTACATTTATGCCTTTTGATGATTCTTATCATTCGCAAGCAATTTTAGTATCGAAGCTGCTAAGAGAAATGGCAAAAGCCTGGAATGCTGATATAGGATAGAGGTAGTCCATTGTAAACACATCTTTCCCGACTTTCCCAAACTGAAGTATAACCTTTCCCTGCTCTGATCCAACCGTGCCACTCTCGGGAGAAGCCACCAATTGAAAATTTTTAACCGATGCAACAGTTACCCGACCATGAAAATTCAAACACCAGCACTGGAGTTGCTCATGCCATCTTGGAGACTTATTTCTCAGAACAAGAGATCTATCTCTTCGGCCATCCAAGGGTCCAGATAAGGCTTTATCCAAGTCATTTGATTCTGACCGGAAAGAGGGGATATGTGGAAAGGAATCGGCACTACTAACATGAAAATCCATCTGTGTGGGAGCCACACCTCCAGGTTTAACAGTAGAAGCTGGAATCGCATCCATGATACATTGCATTCTTCTCGGACCCCTGAATGACACAATTATTTTATAATTTTCCAATCAATCTCAAACACTTGAAGAGATACTGAAGCCAATAATCTCTTCCTCATGGGAACTTTTACAAAATTGCTAGAAGTGAATTTCACTTCAATATGCCTTTCGCAAATGTAAAGTTCCATTTTAAGATCTCATTTTTTATGTATAGACTATACTCCATCTCACTCAATAGAAACAAGATAATAAGAAATAGCATAAATCTTCCTCATACCTCGCTCCCATCACATTCAACTCATATGAAATGTGAGCCACTGGATAGCTACTAGCAGGAACTCCAGGGAAAATTTGTTTGGAGCCAACCATCCGAGTGGAACTACTTTTGGCCATTTTAACTCCCAAATGTGGAGGCAGAGCATCATACACAACAAACTTAGTCCCCAGGAAATTGGATCTTGTGAGGAAAAGGAAAAAAACCTTCCATTATTGAGCCTCTTCTAGAAATATAATATAATATAAACTATAATAAAAAGGGAAAGTTAGCAAACCTTAATTTTCCTACGTAAGTGCCACTTCCCTTGGACATATCATCAGCACTTAGGGAAATTATGTAGTCCGTGCAAGTGGCCCGCCTATACTTACGAGCAGCAAGAAGAAATTTGCCATCATCAGCAAGTGCTGCCAGAGACAGTAAGATTGATGTCAAAGTTTTTTTTTTTTAAAAAAGAGCAAGGTCTGCAAACAGCTCTCATCAAGGCATATAATGAAGATATCTAGCAAAGAATTATGGCGCAGTAGATATATAGAGATTAGAGTGCCAAACATAATTTTAAAAGTTACTTTTTAACTTACGAAACTTACTTTTCCAGGAAACAAGTCTTAACTTTCTTTCTCGAAGAGTAACTTTAAAGCTTCTTAAAACATTTAGTACAAATTACGGGAAGATAAGATTAGCACTTGGAATGGAAGATGAACTTTAAGGTGCGGAGTTGGTATAAATGTTCTAACAGATTTTCTTTAAAGATTCTTAATCCTAATCCTCAAAAAATTAATCCGGCCTTTTCTTTCTGTGCTAAAAAAGTAATTCTGCTTCGAACATTGGTCTCATGTATCACGCAATCACTTCTACAATTATATTAAAAAAATTCAAACCAGTGGATCTTGTTTACGATTTATTAGCACTCAATTAAGTTAAAAACTCTAAGCCCCTGTTTGACACCCATTTCAGAGAAAAATTAAATTTTGGAATAGTGATTGATGGAAGAATGTGTGGTTAAAAAGTAATAAGAATTATTAGGTTTATGAGATATATTATTTTATTGATAGAATGTGTGTTTGAATGTAGTATTATTTTATTGATAAAATATGTGGTTGAAATGAAAAAAGAGAAAAAAATGAGAATGAGAATGAGATGGGTGTCAAACAGGGGCTAAAAATAATGTTCAATAAGTGAATGATGGAATCATCCCTGCCCATCTGCATAGTTTTCTGTTTCACATTTAGCAAGTTGTAAATCTTCCTTCCTCAGTGAGAGTTGAGCAGAATAGCAAAGCAAGTACAAGTATTAGAAGAACAATTCTAGCTAAACTGGGAATAGGAGGGTTAGTGGAAGCAGAAAAATAGCTTCTGAAATAATAGTCAGAGATGCCGTTGAGAGAACAAATGCGTACCTTGAGATAAACTGAGGTAAAGATAAAATGTTTGTGTAGAACTATTCCGTTTAATAAAACACTGGACGAGCGAGTCTCTTGGACCGGGCTGCAAAGCAGAAAAGAATTCCTAAGAATATATGAATAAACAAGGAAAGAGCAAAGTGCTTAACTGACAATGCAAAACAAATTAAATAATTTTCACATGTTGAATTTTATAAATAGTAGATACATTGTAAGTTTCATGACTTGAAGAACAGATCAAATGCGGAGAGACAACAATTGAGAAAAAAATTTTCGAGGAATAAAGGGTACCAAAAAAACTGATGAATGTAAGAGCTAACAATCACGACTTAAAGACTGTTGACTCGCCCATAAACTCAATTCAAGATCAACTCCACCTTCATCACAACAAGCAGAACACAATTTTCCAAGTCTAAATTATCAGTTTCTATTGCATGAGCATAGCTATTATTATGAGACTAAGAATTTGTTTCCGAACATTCAATTCACACTATGTTGCTTTGATGCTCGGACTCTTCAAAATAGTTGGAGTACCCGTGTCGGACACGACACGACATGAGTATGAGATATATGTCGGATCTTCCAAGTTTCAACCGGACACTTCGTCATTTTTGCTTCTTCTTCCTTTTTTTCTTGTGAAGAATATTATAAATTGTATATAATAAACTTGTTTCTATTTCAAAGTAAAGGACCCTATTTATAGGGCTATAAATAACTCTAAAAGGAAATATTGCAAAATAATTAAACAATCAACTATTAAGAAAAATAATCCTACACTATTGGAAAAATATCATAGAGATATTCTTTCCATGGTGTAGCAACAATCAAATTGAGTTTGAAAGATAAATCGATCCAATCAAATTTTCAAAATTGCTTGTATGTCAACCAAGCCGAACAAATAACTCAAAGTTGATGATAATGAAAAATCACCATTTACCAATCTAACCAAACCATCACCAGACTTGAAGGAGAAATCAGATGATGGTCAATCTCAATACGGGTTGAAAAGGAAGAAGAAACACCCAAATCTGTAAGTAACCAACACATCCACTACTAAACCAAAGGGATGCAAATTTTAAATTCCAGCTCGGCAAATACCAAATGAATTGGACGCAAATTTCAAATTCCAGATCGACAAATATCAAATAAACTGGATGCAAATTCCAAATTTTGGATACACCGAACCAACACCAAAACAAATTCCAGATGAACTGGATATATACTAAACCAAATTCCAAATGAATTGGACCAAATTCCAGATGAATACTAAACCAAATTCCAATAAACTGGACCAAATTCCAGATTAACAAAAGCTGAAAAAACTCCAAACAAGCTTAAGAGGAGAAAATGTCCAATTCCGAACAAAAAAACCCATATATTCCACAATAAAATCAAACAAATTAAATAATTGGCCCAATTACTCTAACAACCCGATAAATTCTCACAACCCAAATTCAAGCAGTTATCTCACCGATTTAAAAGTCCAAGTGAAGTAATGGCCCAAATAAATTATCTCAGGCTCAACGGGAATAAAAACTTTGAAAATGCAGCCTAAATCTTCCTTCCTCAGCAACCTGCTCACGATGTCGTCGTGAGGAACAAAGCTGTCGAAAAATCAACCCGACCAGATCTTCTACTTATCTCCAGCGAAGACCCAAAATCATAACTAATCGTTGTCTTCACACAAAAAAAAANCAATCAACTATTAATGAAAATAATCCTACACTATTAGAAAAATATCATAGAGATTATTCTTTCCATATCTTCAACACTTCTTTTTTTTCCTTTTCTTTCCATTTTCTACTTTTCCACTTTTGCTCTCTATAAACCTAACGTCGTTGACAAGAGGGTGGAGAAAGACGGCGACGCTAGTTTTCCCTTCTTTTTCTTCTTCTTTCTTTTTTCTTTCCATTTTCTTCCTTTTTCCCCCTTCTTTCATTTTCTATATCGGTGGTTTAGGGGTTTGTTTGTATAAAATGAAATGAGTTCCATATAGTGTTACTTAATACTCCACTAAGTCCAAATTACAATCAAATTCCTCATTTTCTATAACATTTAGTAATTCTCACTATTGAAAACTAAATCCCAAAATTCTATTTTATACATCTCAACCCTTTATTAAATATCAATTTTCTTCATTGTGAATAATTAATTTTGTCCTATTCAAAAATGACATCCTGAATTAGTAAAAAAAACTTGAAATTTGAAAGATGTAACCACGTACCCGTGTCCGAAATTTGGACTATTTTTAGCAATATCCCCGTACCCTATATTTTAGAAAATAAAATATCCGACACTTAGATACGTACTCGTACCCAATACCCGTACCCGAATCCGAGCATCATAGCTATGTTGGTAAATAGCAAAAAGTTTCAAAACCACGGTAGTTTTCAAATGCGCTTCAAAACATTAAAATTGGCTGCACATTATATCCACAGTTGTAATTTGTAAAGACATGAGGCATAAGCAATGACAACAAACTCTCAACTTAAAAATGATATTCAATGCTCTAGACATGCTCATATCAATCTTTTAACTAAATCCATCAACCAAAACTTTGGTCATTCAATTAAACTAATCTATGCAAAACTAACAGAACCAACCCGAATCCTTTGTTTCTTTCTTTCTCTTGCAAAAAGTAGCGTTCTCGAATTTGGAAAAGCGACAAAAGATCATATACACATTCAGAATTTTATAATCTGCGAATCAAAATTCATGTTTTTAAAACAACCATCATCTTCCCAAATCCCACACCACTTTACCCATATCAGAAGAACAGACAAATTTAACGCGCTTTACACTTCAGCTCGTCAGGCCAGGTGCTCTATCTATTCTGGCACAATAATTCAGACAAATATAACTGCAGCTTATTTCAAATAAATTACAACCACATTTAGTCCTATCAAGAGCATTGCCCTTCGAAACCATCATATTGTCAAAGAAACTGCACAAACATAATTAATACTTGTAGACATAATTAATACTTGTAGACAAACAAAAAATTCAAAAACTCCACAACATCAAAATCAACCATAAGCAGCAATCAACAATACTGTACTAAATAATAAAATAAGAACAAGCATAAAAATTTATAGAGCTTCGTCGAAAAACCAGACCTGCTTCACAGATATTGGGAAAGTGATTTTCCTGGAATTCTCCAGGGTTCTGACAACTTCCTTTATGGCCTCCCTCCAGCTTTTGCACACACCGGCACACGCCACCACGTGCTTTCTCTCCGGCCATTTGGATTCAGACTCCTCTATTTTAACCAAAACTTCCCTCATTAGCTCTGAAGGCAAGTTTAACCAACAACAATAATTATCTATATTTTCATCCATATTCTTGCTATCACTGTTACTATTTTTCATTTTTCCTGCATCCGCAGCCGCCATCTCCACGGCGCTGTCCTGAACCACCCTCCGGGACCTTGACTTCAATCCAAGCTTCATCGAACCTTTGATTTTCTTAAATTAAACTTTTACCCACTGATTTTCATTTAATCTCACCTGAATCCTTATCCTCTTCTCACTATATTTCTTTATCTATTCTCTTAAAATTAGAACTGTTACACTGTTTAGAAATATCTAGATATTAAGCGCCCAAAAAAACAGAGAAATATATTAATCGATAACAAATTTACAAAATGGGATTTCAAATTCAAAAAAGGATTGCCCAGATAAATATTTATATATATTTCTACAGTAAACAGAAACTTTACTTGAAAGGTGGAACTGGGATGTAGAAGAAGATTTATTTATTTATTTTTATTTTTTTGCTGAATATTATGAATCGAAATCAGAAAAAAATTGAAGTTCAGTAACAAACAGTAGAGGGAATTTGTGCGTTTTGGATTAGGAGAAGATATCAAGAATTGGGTTATATACAAATCCTATGCATATCACGACTGTATCTATATGTACGAACATTGGTAGGCAGTGGATGAGAATTAAGAAGATGAATGCTTGGGTTTATTGGCAAAACGCGTAATCTGAATTTTCTTTTTCCCTTTTTTAAAAAAAAAAATGAATTGTCATAAACAATTGATTTTCTTAATTTCATCAAAATATATTTTGCTTAATTTTTTTCAGCATGTAAAATTAAGGTTGATGATTACTAGGTTTTAATAAAGGTTGTTTCCACATGTGTAGTAAAATAAAATATTTATTACAAAGGTACGGACAATATATGTTATTGTCTTTCGACTTTCGTTAAATGGTGAAATGTTACTATTAATATAGATGTAATGACTTACACGGCTAACAAATTAGAATACATTTTTCTATTGTAAATTGGGATTTTTTCCCCAAATAAGTAGGTTTTGTACGCATCAAGATGATTTTTTTTAATTTTTTTTTTAAGAGAGAGAAACAAAAAAGAAAAAAGTGCAACGCGGGAGTTGAACCTTACCCTAATTCATATGTTAATTTGATATGAAGAAAATAATGTTGATTCAACTTTGACAAGAAAAAAGTTATTGATATCAATACTCTTCGACAAGGACATAAAAATCAACACTCTTCGATAACGACATAAAAATATACACTTTTTACGTATACTATGTTAGATATTTTGGTAGAAACAGTGAAATGGCTTTCAAATATCGATATCAAAGGCAAAGCTAGTTCAGACGATGGAAGATTATTTTGATGGTATTTATAATAAGAAAGGCAAAATATTGATCGATTATTGTATAATCTCATTAAATAAAGTCTAAGTTCATGCAGATTTTTACATATAAACAAATTTGACAAATTATTTTGGGTCATTCAAATAGTGGGAAAGAAAAGATATGGGATTCAACTTAAAAATATTGTGGCGTTCTTGTTAATTGCGAAGTAATTCTAAAAATATTATACATAAGGACCTAATGTATGAATCATTTTAATCATCTATAATTTACTAAATCGACTATGAGTTTTAAATTCAAGAAACAATCATAAATAAAGATTTCAATATTTAATAAAGAAACCTAAATAAATATAGAAAAAACAACTTATGTTTCCCTACATTTTCTCACCAACTCCAGAAACTTTCTTTCATGTTGTTGTTGTTGTTGTGTTTCCTTTAATTTTAGAATTATTGTCATTTAAGTTATTTCGTTTTAGTGTTCCTAAAAAAATTAGTTAATTGACCGTTTAAGAACTTCTAAGTAATTATATTTCAAAAGGGAAAATTGCAGTAATGGTCCCTAACCTTTAATTTTTTTATTTTTATTTTTTTACAGACTTTATCCTAACCATCATTTTGTGTCATCCATAGTCTCAAATCTTTCAAAAATATGCATCTCGAGTTCAAATGGATGGAAACCGTCTATTTTACCGTTAGTTGACCCGAAAAATGCAAAAATTGAATATTTTAACCATTTTAAACATGAGCATTTTTATCAATTCCATATTTCTCATTTTAATGAAAAGAAAAGAAATAAAATGAAAATCACAACCCACCCACCCCAACTAAACCAAGCTAGGAATCAACCCACCGTCGTCGTCGCTACAGCCACCACCACCCGTCATCTCCATTAAACCAAAACCAACTGTCACAACCCGTCCCAAGTCACCCTAATGGACTGACACGTGTCGTGCACCGATGATAGATATCAGTTAAGAGTCGGACCCACCACCAAGGCAACTATGTCCCGTTAAAAATGTACCCTACTTTTATAAAAATTTTGACAGAGTTTTCATTGTAATATGGACTAAAACCACCTGAATAATAATCAAAATTATCCAACCAGTACATATAATTTAAAACAAAGTACACCAGCCCCTCAAAACTCAAAATATTCAAATTACAATACTGGAAAGTCGACCTTTACAAATATTTACAACAAAAGTTTCCGATCGACATGTGTTGTGCACCGATGATAGATATCAACTAAGAGTCGGACCCACCACCAAGGCAACTATGTCCTGTTTAAAATGTACCCTACTTTTATAAAAAAATTGACAAGGCTTCCACTGTAATATGGACTAAAATCACCTTAATAATCAAAATTCTCCAACCAGTACATATAATTTAAAACAAGGTACACCAACCCCTCAAAACTCAAACTATTCAAATTACAATACTGGAAAGTCAACCTTTACAAATATTTATAACAAAAGTTTCGAAATATACTCAAAATACCCAATATGCAGTGAGCCCGTGATATGAATATATATACTCCTATTTAACTTTTCTGACACATCCATGCAACCCAAATGAAATATGAACTAAGTCGACAAAATGAATCATACAATGAAAGGCAAAGGGATGGCTCCACTCGGTGGATCAACAGGTTCCGATACTGCTCAACTCAACTACTATCTGATAAGAAAAGATGTGACAAAATATATGAATTTGTAATTCAATGAGTAGATAATTTATAAATAAGTATATGCTTTTCTTCCATTTATGTATATTTTCTGAAAATTCTTACTATTTTGAACCTTTGAGAAATTATGAAATCTAATAATACCCTTAAAACTTAAACATGATTAAATCTTAAAATTCTTTGTTCTTCATTCTAAACAAGTAACTATAAAGTATATCGAATATAATTAATCTGATATATACGAAAATCTTTGAAATATTTTGTTGTTCAATACTATAAGCTGAAATCTTTATACGATAACACACAAATCTGAATTTTATAACTGGAAATCAACTAAGTTGTAGAAATACTGAAATATCACACCAAAAAGGTACCTTAAATAACCTTACTCATGTATCGATAAGTACCGATATATATGGTAAAGCTATGAAATTCTGGTTATACACGCCCATATCTATAGTCTGGTCATACATTATGAAAATACATTCACAATAGTGCAGAGCGGGTAAAATCACCATAAGTGATCATGCACTATGAAAATACATTCACACCAGTGTAGACATGGGTAAAATCACCATACGAAATCATACACTGTGGAAACACATTCACGTCAGTGTANTAACTTTAAAAGAACTGACTATAAAATCCGTTTGATTCTAAAAATCATGCTGTCAAATCAAATATATGAAATAATTAACTTTCTGATATAGTATAAGTTTAATAAATATTTATTTCTGAAAAATAAGTTTTTTTCACTTACTCAAAACAAGATACAATTTATCACGATCGGTAAACTTTTCCAATTTCTTCGTCATCACTTTAAATACCATATAAGATAAACAATTTAACGACTATCAAAAACAAGAAGCCTATATTGTCTATTTCTATAATTCTTAAATTAAATTTCACGATAATTGAATAAATTTCCTAAATCTTCTTTTAATCAATTGGAGCTAATTCCACCTACTAACCCCTGCACTAGCATGTAATTTATCAAAATTACTTCCATTCCAATCATAAAACTAATTATCCCTTACCATCTAGTAAAAATTAGTAACCAACACTACAACCCATTTATTATACATCTTGTTCCATAAAATCATTCTTTCAAGTGAAATTTCATCAACACAATCATTTCTACCAAATATCTTAACTTAAGAATCCAAATAAGAATTATAGGGTTAGCCAAAAATAAAAACTCTTACCTTGATACAAATGAAAGCTAATAAATCAAGAATCTTGAACTAGAAGTCATAATCATTTCCCTAAATTTGAAATTTCGAATCAAGCTAAAACCCTAGAAATTTAACATAGATTACTCCTTTACTTCTTGAAGAAATAAATAAATTAAACATAAGATCAAGGAAAATAACACTTGCTTCTATTTTTCCTTTTTTCCCTTCCTTTTCTTCTTCTTCTTTCTCCTTTTTCCTTCTCTTATTTCTCTCTTTTTTTTTATTTTCTTTTTCTGCTTCTGTCCGTTCTCTCTGCGTGTGGCATATGGTAATGAAAATGAAATGGGTCTAGAATTTGCTAATTATTGGGGGCATTAAGTGGTAATGCAAAGTAAGTCGCCCACCTATCATTTGATGCACAAGCAAATCCTCAACTATAAATCTCATCCATCTTATACTCTCATATATCATCCATTGCAAAATAAACCCCAAAAAAATAATTTACTTCATTTAAATCATATTTGACCATGCTTTTGACAATTTCAGCATTGGACTTCTGACTAAAAAAAATGGATTGTACCGATGCTGCCACCACCACTGCCGCCGTCGCCGCCGCCGCCACCACCACCACAACTACCATCGTCAAACCTACCAAAACCAAAAACTTTACCCCACCCCACCCTACCCCACCAAACCAAAACAAACCATCCCAACCTCTTGCCTGGATCCCAATCTAGGCCCTTCCCACATAAGAAACGGCACCGTCATAGGAAAATCTTACCGATATGATATCAACATCCACCTCTCGCCTCCATGTCCTCTGCCCACACCCAAAACAAACCACCATTGAACTCCATCACGCACCTTCCTACCAACCACTGCAAACACAAGTCCCTTCTCAACCTCAAAAAAAGTAGCCGGTTCTGGAGCTTCGACAAGCGATGGAGACCCAATAGAAAGT